CTGAACACCAGCCTGCTCTCACTGAGCCGAGGCTGCGGCTCCCTGCTATGACGTCAAATGACGCGACTTTGAAAAAAAAAGCCGTTTTTACTAGCAGTCCAAGAAACGCTCACTTTATGTTCTAAATTAGTGTCCTTATGTTGTTTTAAAACATTTTAAATCCTGCATTAACTTTTCATATGGTATTTTCATACAAGGTTATCTATAAATTTCGATTTTTTTTTTTACCTGCAATATGCTCTTTAACGTCTAATGAGACGCTTCGGTTAGGGTTAAGTTTAGGTAAGGTGTAGGGTAAGGGTTAGACCACTAGGGGGCGCCTTCTGCCCAAATATATCTGCGTCCCATTTCACGTTAAAGGGTGCCATGTGCGTTGGATATTTACGCTTTTGCAAAAGCGTCCTATATGGCGCTTTGGGATCTTCTTATTAAATGGTCTGTACACTTACAAAGTTCCCAATGCTTCGTTTTGCATGTATGGAGCCTCAGTATGTTTCTGTGTTAGTGTGGGGCTATTTTGAGCCTTGTTAGTGGTATAAACTAGCGATTTCTTTTACTTAGTCAATGCCCCCAGTACTAGCTAGTATTATACGCTAAACAGTTTTTAGAGATAAAACTCTTTACATTCGATTATCAAGAAAACAAATCTCAGAGAACGATTGACTAGGCACCGATGTTTTATTAGACCAAAGGTTCATTGTTCGCCGGAGTTCTCCTTTAATCATTGGTAATGGAATATTCGGTAACACTTTACAATAAGGTTCGTTAGTTAACATTAGTTAACTACATTAGTTAATATGAACTAATAATGAATAGCACTTATACAGCATTTGTTAATCTTTGTTAATGTTATTTTCAACATTTACTAATACTTGATTAAAATCTTGTTAACATTAGTTAATGCACCGTGAACGAACATGAACAAACAATGAACAGCTTTATTATCATGAACTAACATTAACAAAGATGAACAAATGCAGTAACAAATGTTTTGCTCATGGTTAGTGCATTTTAGTAAATACATTAACTAATGTTAACTAATGAACCTTATTGTAAAGTGTTACCAAATATTCTTGATCAAACCAAAAAGAGGACTTGTAGTTATAATGAAAGACTGTATGTTTAACCATTGACCATTTTGAGTAAAATAGCCATTGACCATTTTGAGTAAAATAGACCACATTTCTGCTACCATAATAAATAATACAGGTGAAAATCCACAACCTAGCCTGATGCCTCTTCTAACCTCGAATCTTGGACATGTACCTTGTCCTTGGGTAAGAGCTACAGAACCGTTTATGTCTTTATAAAGCATTCCAACAATACTAATTACATTTAGGACCAAAACCAAAGTGTTTGTAAGTTTGAAAAATAAAAGAATGCTCCACCATGTCAAAGGCCTTATAGGAATCCAAAATTAAAATGAAACCATCTTCTTCAATTAGAAGACTAAATTCAATCAAATCAAAAACTAACCTGATATTATTATGAATTGACCTATCCTTTAATAATCTTGATTGGGTCACACTAATAATTTGTGATATTCCTGTTTTTAATCTAGAAGCCAGTGCTTTAGTAAACAGTTTCTAATCTGTTAGTGTTATGGGGTGTAAATTATCTAATATCCTCATATCTTTTCCTGTTATTGGTATCAAAATGATAATCCCCTGTTTCATTTACATCAGCCTTGAGAGTAATAATCTTGCCTGGGCATTTATTGATGCATATAGCGACCCCTGCAGACTGATTTGAACCATGACAAAACATCATATCATTCCCCCACTATTTTTCTTTTTTCCAAAAGTTAGCATCTGCTGACTCTGAATGTGTTTCTTGTAGAAAAAACAAAAAAAACAAAAAAACAAACAACAATATGAAAATTGGCTTTCTCTTAACAGAGCACCTTTAAACCCTAACAATTTAAAGAAGAAAATGAGATGTCAGATTTTAATGCGAACATGAACAATTAAACAGATGGTACAGATGGTTTACCCCATGGTAAAAGCAAATTCAGGTGTTATCGTGCCTAGATTTTGAATCACATCCTCTCTCATGTGCTCATTTGAGTTCTCATTGAGACCTTCTATGCCAGTGTTTCCCAACCCTGTTCCTGGCGGCACACCAACACTGCGCGTATTCTTTGTCTCCCTTATCAAACACACCTGATTCAACTCATCAGCTCATAATCAGATGGGTTAATGAGCTGATGAGTTGAATCAGGTGTGTTTGATTAGGGAGACAAAGAATACGTGCAGTGTTGGTGTGCTGCCAGGAACAGGGTTGGGAAACACTGTTCTATGCGAAGACACCATCTTCTTTGTACCTTTCCTCTTCCAACACACAAACTTTAGATCATTCTTGACTTCGATCAGTTTTTCAATTTGCTTTTCCTTCATTTTGATTTTGTCTTTGCATTATCGTAACTCCTGTGCATTTATTTGGACAGACTTGGCAACTCTTGCAATTATAGCACTGTGTTGCCTCATTTGCATGCTTAATTCTTCGTGCTGTACATCTACCCAGTTCCAAGGGCTTTAATTGCTTTAATTACTTTTTCCCCTTTTGGGGGTTTTTCTCGGTGTGGGTGGATCAGAATCAGCTCCTCTGTCCCTTTTGCTCGAACCTACAGCTATTTCCATTTCATAACAGGGGTCTTCCATTTCTATATCTATACCACAACTTGAGGTATGTATATTAGCATGTGGGGGTGGAATAAAACTTGTCAAATTAAACAAACTTGGATAATTCCTAATCCTACCTATCTCCACCCCCTGATCCCTAACCCCACCCCTAATCCTACCCATCGCCACCTCTAAGATCTGGATCCAACTCCACCCCCTGGGTCTTGTGTACTGCAATGAGGTGCTACTGGAATTATGCGAGAGCATAACAACTTGACTACTCAGGCCCCGTCCACACTACTGCGTTTTCGTTCAAAAACTGAGAATTAAAACAAATACCATCTCCGTCCACACCAGTGTTTTATCTGCGTATTAGAAATGATCTCCGTCCACATTAAAATGACTGAAAACGCGGATCACGTGACAATTAACCAACACTGGGCATGCGCGTGCCGGTGTAAACAGTGGTTGGCGAATCAGGGTAGGACACATCATGACTGATAACACCCAATCATATTTTAATCTATTTTAATTTATTTTGATGTATGACTTTGAAAAATGTTCTTTGATTGACAGGGTGATTTTGTTTAGTAATTAGATTTTTATTCAGATTTAGTATGGTGACTTAGCCTGACTTCGTCATACTCATATTCAAGAAAGAATATGAGTCTGAAACTCCTCCATTGGGCTTTGATTATGAGACGTGTCGTAACCGAACCAGGACAAAAAAAATCCCTCTGCACTCAATTGGATAGTCGGTAGACCTACCAACCAATCAGAGCAACGCATAAGTCAACTCCTTAGCATAGCGCAGTTTTCAAATACAGAACGTAGCCTACTTTATTTATTTTAGAAGTTCAATAACGAGTGTTACTTCTTTTACTTACTTCTCCATGAGTGCCACCAAAGGAGAAACCACAACAACCACAGGCTTTTCATTACGTCCCATCTTCTTAACAACCGTCAGAGCCAGTTGATAAGTTACACTTTTCCCGAATCACGTCTCTGTTTGAACCTAATTTACTTTTGTTTTAAAATGTAATTTATTGAAAATTCAAGAGAAGTGACTTCTCAATTTAAGTTAATTCTTGCATTCACAGGTTAAAATGTTTAATGTTTGTTAGAAATGAACGACTTCCAACAAGTGCCTTTTCCTCCACGTCCTTTTATTGAGTTGTGAACAGACCATACAGAATCAAAATCACCAGCGCTGGGGGAGCCAGAAAAGATAGCTCAGCCTCCCCATATGTGACATGCAAATATATATATATGAAAAAATATCAAGGGGAGTTATCTGGTCTTATCCAATAGGATTATATATGACCTCATACCATATCATACATTGTATAACATTTATATAATAAGTCCGAATATGGTCAATATCCGTTGAAAATACCCTCAGAACCTAGGGATCCTAGAAGACTTCTATATGTAACAAAAGAAAGAAGAAGAGAAAGGGGAGAGGGAGAAACTCTCCAGATGTTTGAACTAACACACACTACAGAGGAATGTGCAAGCAAAGCATGAACTCTTCATAGAGCCTTTACACTCTTTGGCCTAATGGACATAGCTGAGACTAAAAGACTTATATTTCTGACAATGTTTCAATAGCCTATATCTCCTAGATCCCCCTGGCTTTGTATTATTATTATTTATTTACTGAAAGAGGTTAATCAAAACATCAGTGAAAGATTAAAAATTAAATTAAAAATGAAAAATCCTTAGAAATTTTAAGCTAACTTTCTGTAATTAATAATGTTTTGTTATCGGGTCAATAAAATATTTTATTCCTTTTTTGAAAAAAAGAAAAAGAAAAGACCAACCACGCGGTGGAATCGAACAGTCTACCATCAATTGCGCATGTCTTAACTCGAAATTGGAAGTGGGAGGGTGTTTTTATTGTTTTAGTAATACTAGCACAGTGCCACGGACAGGTATAAGGAACATATTTTTCATTAATATTGTCTTTAAAAATAGTTTGTGACGTGCATCTGTATATTACCGCTTGCCATTTTAGTCTATACAAGCTTTATCGCGATTGATGCACGTCTCGCTGGAAACAGCTTATTTAATGCGACCCTATCTTTAACAGCCTCTGTGCGCAAATCGACTATTTGTGCTCAGTTTAAATTGTAACATGCTTATTTTAAAATGCATTGAGGAGAAAAGGATTTGAGTTCATTTATGCGTGAAAAGTTTTTCGTTAAAGTTAGTTAATCGCAGTTTGCTGTAGTAATGATTCCATGCAACGGCGTTTCGAGGATCAAATTAAAGAGGGATTCGTTTAAGCAATATAACAAATTAGAGCAGAATAAACGGCGATGGACTGGGCCTAAAACTGTGTCTGGTTTAAATCCACTTGCCGATCGTGGCATACAGGTACAAGGCCAAGAGAGCTATCCAGTTCCGGAGGCAGAAGATGTCGTTTCTTCGGAATTAAACGCCCACGAAACGTGCGCTACCGCCGATCCCCAACCACCGTCCTATTTTGACGGGCAAGCGAGCTCCAAACAAGACGCTCATGCTGAACATGACGATTGCCGGGGGCATTATAATCAAGGTACTTTCACATCCAGAGTCAGTGGCTTTTGTAACTGTGGAGGTGGAATGACTAAAGCGCAGGTCACATGTACAAGGAGTCGGTCAGCGTCCGAAAAAGTATTGAAAAAATTGCCCGAACACAAAAAAGAAATTTTCTACCGTCTGCGCTTAGCTTTGTGCTTTGCCAGGAAAAAACATCTAAGTGGCGGGAAGCGCGTGATAGATGTGCCAGCGGGAACGCCATGTCGCACACTGTCATATATAAACAGTAAAGGGTCGGCTGAGTCAGATAATATTTCTATTAAATCCACCGTCTGTGGAGAATCAGTGGATCAAACTCCACCTGCCCAACTAGATGCAAAATACGGAAAGAAAACCGGCAGTCAAGAAAACCAAAAATCTCGTCGGGGAAGGAAACCGAGGAAACTCTTTATTGATAATTTTGGTGGGTCTGATGGACAGGTGAAAACTACCTTCAAGACGGAAGTCCGGAGAGGTCATGCAAGTAAAGCCAGACCCACTATATCTGGACGAACACCAAGTAAGGGTCAAACCATCATTATACATGTCAATAAATATGGAGGTAATTTAGTGAGGAACATGTTGACCAGTTTTTTTATCAGACTTCATGTTTTACAGGCAGCAAAGTCTGTTGGGTTAAATGAGTAGGTCACTTAAAAAAAAAAAAAAAAATTGCTGATAATTTACTCACCCCCATGTCATCCAAGATGTCTTTCTTTCTTCAGTCGAAAAGAAATTAAGGTTTTTGATTAAAACATTCCAGGATTTTTCTCCATATAATGCACTTTAATGGAAACCAAACGGTTCAAGGTCCAAAAGACAGTTTGAGTTCAAACTGTTCAAAGGGCTTTAAACAATTCCAGACGATGAATAAGGGTCTTATCAAGCCAAACAATCGCTCATTTAAAAAAAAGTTTTATAAGCTCAAATGCTCGCCTTGCTCTGTTCTGTGATGCACGTTCGTGACTCTCCTGTTTGAACTCGTTCATCAAAATTAACTAATCTTTTTCGAGTCAATTTGTTCATTTCGTTCGTTGAATGAACCAAATGACTAAAAAAAGGTTTGTTCATTTTGATGAACGATTTCGAACAGGAGAGTCACGAACGTCCATCACAGAACAGAGCAAGGCGAGCGTTTGAGCATATAAAATTTAAACTTTTTTTTTTTTTTTTTTTTTTAAATGAGTGATCGTTTCTCTTGATAAGACCCTTATTCATCGTCTGGAATTGTTTAAAGCCCTTTGAACAGTTTGCACTCAAACTGTCTTTTGGACCTTAAACCATTTGGTTCCCATTAAAGTGCATTATCTGGAGAATTTTTTTTTTTTAAATGAATTTATTTATTTATTTAATATGGACATAACAATAACATTGGACGAACCAGATGCATTGTTTAAAGTGTAATAGCACATGTGCTAATTTTCAACACCTGTTGAAAACAGGTGTTGAAAAAAGTATTCACAAAAAGTATTCTCGTCGTTTGATAAAGTTTAAATTGAGCCACTGTAGTCACTTGGACTATTTTAACGATGTCTTAATGACTTTTCGATGCCAGCAAGTGTCATTCCCTCAAGAAGCCTATGGACTAGTATGCAGGTGCGATCTTAATATCTTAAATATCGTAATTTGTGTTCCGAAGATGAACTGTTCTTAAGGTCTTACGGGGTTGGAACAACATGGGGTGAGTAAATACTGACAGAATTTTCATTTTTGGGTGAACTAACCCTTTAAACAAAAATGAAAATTCACATAAATTACTCGCCCTCGGGCTGTCCCCGTTGTGTATGAATGTTTCTTTAGATTAACACAAGTGAAGATTTTTTTTAGAAAAATAATCCATCTCTGTAAATCCATAAAATACTAGTTGATAATTACCCAGAAGTCAACACAGCAAAAACCACACAAAGCCATCACAGTAGTAATGCATATGATCCTAGTTTGAGGTGACCAGAAGTCCTGGTTTTCTGGGGACAAGTCCCGGTTTTTGGTGATCCGTTCCTTACTGGACTTGTCCCCTGAATTGTCCCCGGTTTACAGCTTATTCAAAACAACCCACGTAAATACATTGCATAAAAGCCCAACCCAACATACAGCAGCCTGCTTGGTTATAGGAGCAATCGTGTTGTGCGTCCAACAGATGATGCTGTGAGCGACTGTACTTGCCTACTTGGTCGTGCTCTGCTACTTCATGAAGAACATAACCTAGGCTAGAGCAGAGCACCATAATCATCAAATACCAAAGAAACATAATTATTTCTTTCAGGGTAGTAACATACTAATGTTACTTCTTGTTGATGTAAAGTAATACTGCTTTTATATCAGGGCCTCCACAACAGGGTGCAGGAATTTATTGCACAATTTTAAAGTCTTAAAAGTTCCACTCACAACGCATTAATTTCCACACTAAACAAGCCCAAATAAGAGTAGTAATAGTAGTAAGGGAGAATAGCAAATGTTTTCGTGTGTCAACTTTTGGGTTACAATCCACTTGTATTATATGGACTATTTTTCAAAACATCTTTGAGTTCATCTAAAGTCATATACATCTTGGACTCCATGAGGGTGAGTAAATGAGTACAGAATTTCCTTTTCTGGGTGGAGAATCCCAAGCATTTTGATTGATATGATTTAATGGAGAAATTTGTCAGCGTTTTGGGAGAAAGCAGTTATAGGGAGGCTCTTTATATTCATATTGCATTTTTACTCTCACCCTTTTCACATTCTTTGTCTCTGATTGCAGATATCAGTACAAAAGTTGAGCTGAGACGAAGACTTAGGTCAGACACGAGGAAAGACCGCAAACGATTGGTGAAAAATTCGTGCTGTGCTTTGTGTGGTGATGTAAAATACACTCCTCCCCCTAGTAAGAATCTGGCCCGTATACTCAATCACAGATCGAGAGCTGGCCGCCCCAGCCCGACTGCGTTGCAGAAAGGTGCCTGTCATAACTCAGAGTCCCATCGGCCCCCGACCACACCGATTTTGCGCTTTGAGAAAAACCTCATGGTGAAACTGTGTGATGTAGCCCGAGTGTTTGACATAGCCTCACGTGATTTCTCATGTGTCTTGCCAGCGGTACTAAGACAAAAGAGGAAACGCAAAAGAGTGAGGTGCTCAATGAAAGAATTCAGTTTTCTCTTGCAACCTCCTCTTCATGGCATCAGCAAGCAAAGAAGTAGGATTGCTAACCAATCCTGGGAAGTTTCCACTCCAACCCATAGCTGTGCTTCTTTCTCATCAGGTGATCCTCCATCTGGAGCTACAGGCAGCACATACATTTCAGACACAGCAGAGACTCCAGATGGATCTGTAAAGAAATGGGATGCTTGCCTTGTAAGGAATCCAGACTGCGAGAGGATGAGACAGACCGACATTGAAGGAACTGCCTCAGTACTCCCACGTTGTGAAGACAGCAGTCCTGTTGTGCGTTTCTGTGAGAAAGACAAGGCCTGTCCAATGAATAACATCTCTGAAAGTCCTTCCAGCCCAGTGCGTCGTGTACCACCTTTAATACTCAGACGAGTTACTGTCAATGGTTTTGTTTTCAGACATGACAATGAGAACAGAGGTCTTTCACTGGATGAAGAGGAGGAGGACAGAAGAAATGAAGATTCTGATTGTGAAGTGAACTCACCTGAGAGTTTCTCCTGCCAGCGAACGCAAGCCTACATATTTTTCCCCCAATCATCATGCGCTCGCACATGCAAAATCTGGCCCTTTCCTAGAATGGGCCCTCCTAATGAAATCAGACCATCGCATCTAACTGGACCCCGGTGGATTGTGACCACTCCATTTCCTGCCACCGTTCAGACTTCTCACGGTGTAGCACCTGAATGCTTATCAGATAAGGATGTTCAAAACAAACTTTCCAAACCCACAAAGCAAAGCAAGAGCAGTCATGATGAAAGAGGAGCACTGGAGGGCCAACTACTTTCTTCTGCACCAGGTGAGAAGCCACCTATTGACATGTTAGCTGTGTTGGAAAAGACTTCAAAAAATCCAGCACAAAGTCTTTACAGTCCCAGAGGTACAATGACTCAAGATATTTTTCATATTTCGAAACTTGCAGAACACACCACTTACTGTGCATTTGGTGAAAAACCACCCACTTGCACACCAGAAAGGGCTTGGAAATGTCTAGTAGACAGTCCAAGAGTCGTATTCTCTCATGTTTCCAAACCAGCAGAGCTTGAGTCAAACCAAAGTCTGAAGAAAGCTTTTGAGGATGTTCTTGAGTACTCTGCACCTGTAATGACTGAACAGGGTAACAACTACAAACTTAATGGTCTTGACTATGCAGCATCATTAGAAGGGAACGGTATTTTAAAAAAACATTCCCTTCTCAAGAAGTCTAATAAGGAAATGCTTTCAAGTGGGTCCAACAATCAGTCTGATGTTCCTGTCATCAGGGAAGAAGATACAAAATTGCGCAAAGATTCGTTAAATCCCAAAGCTGTTAGTCGTGATGGGGTCGAAAATTGTGGTAGACGAGTTCTCTATAACCCAGGGTCACTCTCGCAAATATGTCTTAAAGTAAAAATGCTAAAAGCTCAGCATTCTTCTTTAGTGACAACCACCTCCTCGGTGGAGCAGGAGACCAAAAGTGTTACTCCAAATTCAGTTGGGCATACACCCGACAGCAACCCTGACTTTTCAGGAGAAGGGAAAAGAACGCAACTATTTGACACCTCCTCAATCACAGACTCCTCCTCTGAAGATGAAAACAAGAATTTCACTAGTCTGTCTTCAGAAGAGGAGTCATTGAAACGTCATGCAGCTGAGAGCTTGTTGTCTGATGATGATGGGACATGTCAGATTAAAGATAAAGAACAAGGCTCCACCCTTCCACCATTTCCGGTGATTGCAGACAGCTTCCTGGATGTTTCTCGAGCATATGAAGAAGATGTCCTTATACTGGATGTGATACAGGATGATCCAGAGTTGTTCGGGGCTGTGGTCACTGAAACTGTGAGTAACAAAGATGCGTCTACACAGGAGAATGAAGAGACACAGCAAAAATCAGAGTCGAAACTTCAAACTGGAAATCCCTGCAAGATTGTCTGGGATATAAACTCAGATCGGTAATTCATTTAAGAATTAATAAACAATGATGGATCTTTTTAAATGTCTTTTTAAAAGTCTTACTACTGGAAGATTGCTGTTTGTATTTAATTGAATTTATTCTTTCTTGTTGATGCATTTGACTTTTTTTTGACTGAATATGGTTCGGTTTCTTAATCTATCATTTGTTTTAAAGCACCAGCAAACCTCACCCAACTGCTGTAGACGCCAAGATGGAAGATTTGAAAGATGGTGGTACTATGATGGGTATGTGACCTTTGAATTGTTTGACATAAATATTTTAAGCATAAATGTCAAAATTAATTTGAGTTTTAAGTTTATTTTTTGTTTCCTAATTAGTTTAATTAAATGGATAGTTCACCCAAAAATGACTTGTCATTTAACCCACCCTTGTCAAAAGTTGTTAAGCTTGTATGAATTTCTTTCTTCAGCTGAACACAAAAGAGAATATTTTGAATAATAATTAAATAAATAGAAACAATTCTATGAAAGTTAATGGGCCTGTTTGGTTGCCAATATTCTTCAAAATATATTCCTTAGTAATAATATAACAAAATATATTCTATTTCTACCCTGAAGAAGGCTGTTTGTGCCACTATGCGTGGTTACTGGTTTGTATAGCCCCCCCCCCCCCATGTCTTCCATGTCTTCAAAGAAGAGTGCCTTGGATATTCTTTAGTGTTCGGCAGAAGAAACAAATTCATACATGTTTCGGATAACTTAAGATTGAGTAAATGATGACAGATTTTTTTCCCTTTAGGTGTGCGAAGGTCTCGTTTTCTTTTAGTTGTTGATCAAATATTAGAGCTTTTTCTTATCTTATTTTTTATAAGAAAGTGACTCATTTTCTGTTTTTTCACCTACAGTAAAGGAGACACAGAGTTACATAGCTCAGCCTCCCCAGTGTATAAATACTTTAAAGTCAGAGGTCAGTTTGCATTGCTCCAAAACACTTGCACATTATATTGTGATGATTTTATTATAAAGTGTGCCGTTATGCTAATTGTGTGGCTTCTCCTCAAGCAAAAGGGACACTAGTTTTGGGGGGAAACCTGCTTCTTATCCTTTCAATTCTGTTTGTTGCTGCTAGTGGACCAAAAATGAAACTTTTAACACTTATTTGATGTTTGGTTCTGAACATAAATTGTGATGAACAGAGGGTTGTTTTGTGTCCTCATCTTACAGCATGCCACAGACTGCAATAACCAAGAGATGAGAGAAACAAACAATCTGTCTGCTATTACAGTAAAAAACACAAGAGCAACAAGTCTTGTAATGAACACGTGCGGTAATGGTAGGTCAAACTCAACATCAACCTAAGATCTGAGAGTAATCTGCCCGAAATGTTCAAGTTTGCTTATGAATATATGTATTGTGTCGGAATATACGGTCAAATTAAGCAATCTAACCATAAATGTCACATGTATCATGTTTTATGCCCAAGGGGTTGAAGTGACTGCAAAAGAGACTTCTGCTTTGAGGAATGTAAACAGCAGTGTGAGTATACTCAATCTTTGACACGTATAGATAAGAGCGAACAAAATGTTAGTGTTATATGTATTTTACCATTACCTTTCTATTTTATTTATATTTTCTTCTTCTTTTCTTCTTATATTTTTACTTCTCTCTGTCTTCAGTATTGTTGGTACCACTTTAGTGAATATAGCACCTGCCTGCGAAGTGTCTGTTGGTTCCTGCACACACCAAGAGATGGAGACGAAAAGGTCTGTGTTGTAATATAATTCTGGTTCAGTGTTTTTTGACATGACTGCCCCCTTCTGAAAAAAAAAAATGATTGTTTGAGAGTCATCTGAGTTTGTGTTTATGGTTTGCATTTTTTTGTTTCAGTTCTGCATGGATATAGTGAAGAAGTTCTGTCATGTTGGTAAACGTGGTCTTATTCTACGAGCAGGTAACAGAACTTAACTTATTAAAGAAATGGAGGGTGTGCATTGATGACATTTTACCAACGGGACAAGCCCCCTCAGCCAGACTGTGTGGCAAAACATCCTGCAACATGACTAGGGATGTCCCGATACCACTTTTTCACTTCCGATACCGATACCGATGCCGCACCTTTGGCTTTTGCCGATACCGATATTAGTCCGATATTTTTTTTTTCGTGGTCCGACGTGCCGTATACGGCCCACAGGGTGGTTTATAGGTTTAACTTTGTGAAAGACAAAACAAAACAAACACAAAAGTAAACATAATACATATCTTTGGAAAGCTGAGAAACTCGTGATTCGAACGACGTAAACCATTTTAAGATACAATCAACACAGCGGGCACAATCTGTCTCTTTGTCAGACCACCAACAGCCAAAACAAACCAACACAAACTGGAAGAAACTCACCAATTAGCCATCTGTTAGTCCACATTCCAACAAAAATGGTTTGGTTTCACTGTAAAGCGTCCATACAATCCAATTTGAAGAAGTTTTTAGTCCAAAACAATTGTATATATGAATAAACATCCATGGAATGTAAATAGTAGCATTTCGCGTTAGCCGACAGCGCTATCACAACTTCGACGCACTAATGCTACGTTCACACCGGACGCGAATAGGGCGTCAGGCGCGAATGATTTCAATGTTAAGTCAATGCAAGAAAAATTCCTGCGGCGCGAATGAGGCGTGGAGCGCGGCGCGGAAGACGCGAATACGCCTCATTCGCGCGTCAAGTTGGCGCGAATGGTGCGAATTGGGCGTTGTGCATTCACGCGTTTGACGCGAATTCGCGTCTGCCGCCCGAGTTGAAAAATCTGAACTTTGGCGTGAATTCGCGCCGCGTTAACCAATCAGGAGCCTAGCTGCTTGCTCACGTGGTGAAGTGTCTGGATGCTTCAATAAATTATTTTGTTAATATGACTAAATGCATGGTGGGATTATGCACAACAAAGCAAATGTTTCATCACTTAAAACATTATTTCTATATGGAGACATGTTCATTTTGTATTGAATGTTATTCATTCCATATCTAGAAATAGTATTATGTTGTAAAGACAATCAACATATGTGCATAAATTCGTGTCTGGACGTGAGAGAGAGAAAAAAAAAAATCACAGGACAGGTTAATAACTTTTGAAGGCTGGCTCTATTTATTATCAAAACAAAAATAAATGACAGCTAGATTAGATGGATGAGGGGCCGGGCGAGGGTGATCCTCGCTCAGATGCGGGACAACAGGTCATCAAACTGGGCGCGTGACAGGCGGAAGTACCGCTGACAGCGGCCGTCCAGCGCAGCTCCTGGAGCGAGCGAATGGTGAAACTCGCCAAACGGTTCGGCTCCGAAGGGTCCGGTGGACACAAATATACGGCGACGATGATCCCCACGCCGCTGTTCTGCTATCCAGAGTAAATACAGAGCGGTAACTCTCTTGATGAATGCTCGGTCGACATAAAAACAATGACCGCCAACGGATTTTGATTCTGACGCGCGTCACGCGCGTAAATTTCGCTTCAAACTTTACGCGCGCCAGTTTCGCTCTCTCTTTGAGTGACAGTTTATCTATCCAGTTGCAATAGAGAATGAAATGACGCTATTTTCTGATAGCCAATGAATTTCTGAAAAGACTGAAATGCAGCTTTTGTGGAATCATCCGATTACATTAGAATCCGTGCGCAAAAGCGAGAGTGATTCTCTGCGCGCGTGTGCTTAAACACAACAATCATCACGTGACAGGCTGCGCCGCTAAACTGGATATCGCTCATATTTTTTTCTCCCCTCCGATCTCCGATCTAGCGTTCTGGGCCGGTATCGGCGCGATACCGATGCCGTGGATCGGATCGGGACATCCCTAAACATGACTGGCTTTACATTTAGCCATTTACTCACCCTCAAGTTGTTCCAAACCTCTATGTGTTTATTTGTTCTGCTGAACACAAAGGAAGATATTTGGAAGAATGTTTTAAAGTGGGGGTTGACTGGGATTTCACTTTTTTGATTTTAAATAGTGTGTAATGTTGCTGTTGGTGCATGAAGAGTATCTGTAAAGTTGCAGCGCTGAAAGTTCAGTGTAAGCAGAGATATTGTCTTTTAAAAATCAGGAAGTATAATTGCCTACAAAAACGACTCGATTGGGACTACAGCTGGGTTTTAGACATCACTAACCCATACATTTGCATCAACCCTTCCTCCGGAATATGGTACACTTTATGTTTGTCAGCTGTCAGGTCTTCTGTGTTTGAGATTCCCACGGATGCTGTACTTCGTCAACAATGGATACAATTTATGTTTGATTATGTTCCTGAAAGTGACGCCCGTAATTTAGCTCTAATTCAAATTTAGAATCTAATTCAACACCGGATTCAACAAGAAACTGTTACAAAAACATGAAGCAGTTCCAACTTTGAAACGAGAGACAGCAGTTGTTGGGCCACAACCTGTAAGTAGGCGAAGACTTCATCATTTTAAATGTATTTACATGTTTAATTCCAGACGTAGCCTTGTGTTTTACTTTTTTCAAATGCCAGTGGCTTTATAGCCACTATAGGCTACTAGTTATGCTATTTTGTGTCTACGACAAACGCATACAAACATTATGAACCTGAATTTTGTATAAGTACTAATGTTTTAAACATATTTTTCATGTATATGTGCTTTATGACGTTATTTTCGATTTGATCAAGAACGTAAACTAATGCCACGCTGTTTGAGTATAACGTTAGTAGCCAGTCAATTGCTATTGTTGCTAGTCAGATGCTATTGTGTAAAACAAACGTGTATAAAGTTAAAAAAATGTAGCAAATTATCATTCAGAAATCAAATGTTTAGTAAGAGCAGTGTGTGGTGAGTAGGGATGGGTACCGAAACCCGGTATTAAACGGGCCCCGGTACTGAATTTTGAAAGACCGCTGTATCGATAAGCTCGGACGTTATCGGTTCTGCTGTCGGTACTGGAGAAATTATTTATCATTCCTATAAAGACGTTATCTTGAACATGTTTATATCGCCAGCCTTTTCTATATATATTTAATTAAACCATTTGTCTGTGATGCAAATTTGAAATTCGCAGTTCAGAAGAGAGAGAGAGCGATCTCTCACGCAAAGCCACAGCACGCACAACACGACAGCCTTTGCTGAATGAGTGACAATGAGGACAGAACTAAACATTCAACGACGTGGTTACACTTTAGATGTGGGATATTATTCTAATATATTTTGTATTTCGGCTTCCAAAGATGATAAAAAGAAGATATTTGAGATAAAACCGTTCAAAATCAAGACGCATGATCTGTCCAGCTTAACGTCCTTTAGCCTACTTCACAGCACTGCGGAGTGCTGTCAGTTCTTCCTAAAACCCAAACGTACCGTCAGAATCAGCACGATCGGCGATTGTTGCAAAATGCTGTCTTCTACTGTTGCAAGATCAAAAAATGGCTATTAAAAACACAAAAGCCTGCGCAAGAGACGCTGTTCACAAGGCGGTGCGTGCTCCGAAACGGACTGCAACGAGACAAGAAAAGTAGCCTATACTTTGGGCTTTGTGTGTCCTTAACTATCAAATATACATAAAAATGTCAAAATGACCAGCTCTGAGATTCACTTAAACACAGTTTATTCACTTAAACACAATTATGTCTTAAATGGACGTAAATAATAGGGAGAAAATGATGGTGCTTCAGTTACCTATTAGATTTGCTCTCGGTCTTAAAGGGGCAGCAGTCTAATAACCTAAACGTGCTGACGATTCAGCCATTAATGCAAATCAAACAACAAAAGGCAGAGAAAATCACTCACAGCTTTTGAATGAGTAACTTTAGATTTAATAAGCATTAATCTATCTATGATAAACTATACAGTGCTATTTTATATTTGATTACTAAATTAGGTTTCTTTTCAGACAGAAACAATTACCTGAAAAGATATGTTAGTACACCTTCCTGAAATTAAAGCACTTTGTATATAATTTGTATCTTTGATTAATTGCATTCTTGTGTTTGTACTTGTTTTTTTTCTTATGTGTCCTTTTTGTATATAAAACAAAAAAAGCCTGCACATTGCTGCATAACAAAAATATATTTTTCTTCGTTTTGCTTTTTCTATTTTACATTTCAAAATATAGAGTTTAATTATGTTCTTAATTCTTAAAAAACAAAAAAACAAAACAAAAAAACACACCAAAAAGAACCGATAAGAATACCGTTAAAGTACCGGATCGATAAGCGGTATCGGTAAGAGTAGTAATACCGATAAAACCTTAACGATACCCATCCCTAGTGGTGAGGTTCTGCTTGACTCTCTTTGTCGCCGTTTTCTCGGTCTGATTCTGCCTCAAACTGATAACAGTATTGACCATAGTATCGTCACCTTTATTTACATGGTTGGACCTTTGGCATGCACGTTTCACCCGTAAAGGTAATGGGCGTAGACCTTCCGGACAACGTGAGCGACAGTTTAGCCAATCACAACACACCGGCCCAAACTAACCAATCTGAGCCCACTGTGTGTTTCTGAGGGAGTGTTTTCATAGAATCGGGAAGTGAACCGCTCGTTCATGGGACAGAGGAGAGCGCGGCTTACAATAAAAGTGAAATTTATGAAAAATAAGACTTTAAAAAAGAAAAACCACGAATACATGATATATTGCACCCCATAAACACAATCATGCAAAGAAAAAAAGCAGTCAACCCCCCCTTTAATCAAACAGATCTCAATCCTCATTGACTTCCACAATAGGAAAAAATACATACTATGATAGTCAATGGGGATTGAGATTAGGGCTGAACGATTATGGAAAATAATCAAATTGTGATATTTTTTTTAACCAATATTGCGATTGCGATTTAATATGAGATTTAAAAAAAAAAGTTCTTTACCTTCTGTATTAGTCGACAAAGACAAGCAATAAATCATTGTAGAGTAGGGATGGGAATCTTTAGGCAGCTCATGATCCGATCTACTTTTTTTTTATTAATTAATC